GGCGGTTATTTGCGCTCATCACATGAGTGTAATCTTGCGGCGCCTACACACTGATTTTCTCCCGAAACATCCATCATCACACAAGTCTGCAAAGGAAACTAATTCAGTATCCATCAATCTCCGGCACACAGACAGGCCTGAAAACTACTGAAATAATTGAATCCGTCTCATCTGCATTTCGCTTAAAAGAATCGTAGGATTGATCCTTAAACTCTTATATGAAAGTGAAACAGCTCTATTAAGAAGTGGACTAAGGAGGTTTATAGGCCTTGTGATGGATTTTTAAACTATCTTTTTGAACTAACCATGTTTCTGACTCTTAAAAATCTGACCTTTAGATTATCTAACATTATGACAAACTCTTACCTGACTTCCCCTTCTAGGTCTAACCTTGTGACAAACTTTGGACAATGTACTAAAACGTTCTGTCCTGTGTTTGTGAATGTTGTATGTTGTGTTGCCATACCCCTTTGACTTTGGTTGTGTGAGTGAAAAAATAACAAGTATGGGACATTAAACTAGACAGATGTCTAAACTTGAAACCAAAAACAGAGTTTGGGTCTACCCGGTAACAAGGGTTTGCATTAAGAACCAATCAAATTGTGGGGAAATTATGTAATGTTTCATGTCGTTTTTGTCATACCTCCTTATTCTATATAAACTCTTGTATTCGTGTTAACTGGTGGGTTTCTCAATGGAATTTGTCTGAGATCCTCCGGCCTTGCTTCTTCTTGGGAGATTCTCTGGAGAAATGAGACTCTGAGATCTCCTGGCCGTAATTAAAGCATTTAAAGGACATTTGCTGAAGTCTGTCTGTTTATTATGCAGCGCAGCAAGTGAGTTAGTTAGGGGAACAAGTTAGGGTAAGGAACTCGGCCAGTTGTCGGCTGTAGACGCAAGAGCTAGAGTATAAAGATTATTGGGAGTCGATGTGTAGACGCCCCAGATATTTATTAAGTGTCGATTGTAGACGCAGGTAATCAGAAGATTCCAGGTACGTAGTTAGGTTTAGGGAAAAATCTACCTCAGCCTACATAATGCCTGGAGGCTGAAGAACAGGTAGTTTTGAGCCAATCACTCCATCACAATTTGAGCCAATCACATCGTGAGCCCAAGTTGATCGTGGAGACCATTGGCAGATTTGCCACCTGTCCGAGCAGGATTCGAACCGGGGTCTCCGGTGTGGGAGGCGGGCACGTTAACAAGGGCGCTAGAAACAGCAGCCGCTAGCATCAGTCGCTAGCGAGCCTCTTAAGGCCAGGGGAGTGAGGTTTACACACACTCTTACTAGCCTACGTCAGTTACACTCACTTCCACCCGGGTCACGACACCATATGTTACCAGTCCTAGTCGACCCACTCCAAGCGGGATTCGAACCCGGGTCGCTGGTGTGCGAGGCGGGCACGCTAACAAGGATGCTTAAGACTGCAGCCTCTAACGTCAGTTGCTAGCGTGCCTTTTGAGGCCAGGGGAGTGAGGTTTACACGCACAGCTCTTACTGGCCGATGTACGTTACACTCATCCCCCTAAACCTCACTCCCATCCGGGTCACGGCACCAAATGTAACCAGTCCTACTCGACCCGTTCCGAGCGGGACTCGAACCTGCGTCTCCAGCGTGGGAGCACACTAAACACAATCTATAAGTGTTGCATGTGAGTTTACGCAGAACAAATGTTATCACCTAGAAATCTTTTTACTGTGGCACAGCCAGAAATACCAGTTCCTATTAATACTTTGCAGTCACGTGACTACCATGGATACCTGGCGGACAACAAACGGGTATTTTCAACGTAGAGTCCTGTAGATCCAGGTCTTATAGTAGCTATCAAGTCTGTTAGCGAGCTAGCTGCATAACTATGGACTAGAAATATAACTCCAAGGTAGCTAAATTGTGTAAAGCAGACAAGGTTTTTTAAGATAATCGAGCAGTAATAATTCCTCCGTAAATAATCTAGCTCTACTGTTAGGTCATCTCTGGTTCTCATTGAAAACTATAGATATCACAAACCTCAAAACACCATCTTTTGTATAGTAAAACTGGCGACGTCCTGGCAAGATCCTTGATTAGTTTACTGTGTTTCGTTGCTGGAGAACGACGTTCTTGCCCGCCAGCCAGTACTTGTGACGTCACGTGCAAAGTATGAATACTATACTGCACACAAGAAGTGGGACATTGCATACATTGTTGTCACTTAACTCTCTACATTGCATGTTCAGCAGGTGTTGTCTACTTACTGTCTCAGAAATAAAACCCTCATTTGACATTTATATTACATTTTGCAAATCAGCATATTAGAGTGATTTCTGAAGGATCATGTGACGCTGAAAACTGGAGTAATGATGCTGAAAATTCAGCTTTGATCACAGGAACAAATTACATTTTACAATTTAAAAAAAAATAGAAAACAGTTATTTTAAATTGTAATAATATAGCACAATCTTTCAGTTTTTTTAATCCAACAAATGAAGCCTTAGTGAGCATAAGAGACTTTCAAAAACATAAAAAAATCTTACCGATCCCAAACTGATTTGAATGGTAGTGTATATTCATACATATTGCATATCACATAAATACTACTACACATTAATAATAATACAAAAATCTATCTATCCATCTCTCTATCTATCCATCTCTCTCTCTCTCTCTCTCTCTCTCTCTCTATACACTACCGTTCAAAAGTTTGGGGTCGGTACGATTTTAAATACTTTTAAAAGAATTCTCTTCTGCTAACCATGGCTGCGCTTATTTGATTAAAAATACAACAAAAATCAGTTATAGTATTAAATATTATTCCAGTGTAAATCAGCTGTTTTCTGTGTGAATATATAGTAAAGTGTAATTTATTCCTGTGATCAAAGCTGAATTTTCAGCATCACCAGTGTCAGTGTCTTCAGTGTCAAATGATCCTTCACAAATCAGTATAATATGAGGATTTGATGCTCAAGAAACATTTATTATTATTATCAATGTTGAAACAGTTGTTGGTCTGTCAGTTGTACAGTTGTTTTTTTTTTTTTAGGATTCTTTGATGAATAGGAAGTTCAAAAGACTTTTGTAACATTATAAATGTCTTTACTGTCACTTTCGATCAAATTAATTATTCCTTGATAAATAAAAGTATTGATTTCTTTCCTCCAAAAAATAAAAATAAAATTCTCACTGGCCCTAAACTTTTGAACGGTAGTGTATATATATATATATATTTATATATATTTTTTTTTCAAACCCAGGCAACCAAACATAGAGCGACAGATAAATCTAAAGGTTAACATACATAATCGCTCCAATCCTCCAGAAACAGAACAAGACTTCATTCCGGTGATTGGGAAGCGCCATTGGGATCGTAAAGCAAGCACCAGTCGAACATGACGAGTCTTTGGCAGACATTTGTCACTCTGAGGTAACCAGTAAAAACACCCCCAGCTGAGCTCTGTTTCATTCATGACTGCGGCTCTTGTGGATTGTGACGCATGGTTTTGAAGAGAAACTGTTGAATGGCATTCTTTCTCACAATGGAAGCCCAATTTCTCCATATTTGAAAAAAGAGCTCAATATGAAGAACTCAAGTCAAAGTTGCCCAATGAGCAGCTCAGATATCAAAGGTTTGATTTGTGTGGCCCCCTTCATCTAATCACCCGCACCCAATACTGCCACTGAGAACAAAAGCAGGAAATCATAAACACGCATGGCTCTAATTCTCAACACACCGAGCTTTGAAAGCAGCTGCCCAAAGACAATTACCCCTGCTCCCCCCACAGGGATAATTCATAACATATTCATTTATGCAGATGCCAGAGATCTCCGATACACGTTCAATCCTATGATTTTGCTTGTGGATTTGAACGGGGCCTTGATGAAAGCAAATTTGATGAACCGTTTACTTTAAATCATACGAGAAAGTGCTGTGATGATGCTTTATTATTTATATGATTTACAGTAACAGACAGTTACAACAGTCTGGGAAGATCTGTGATTCGCTTTGAAGTTGGTTCAGGTCACAAGCCTCTTCTCTTATCTCACGACGCTTAAGGGCAACGATGACGGAGATAACACAGTAATTGACACTTTGATGTTGAAGTAATCTTCAAAAAAGATAAACGACCACATCGAGTTCTCACACTCACTGATGCAGTCGCTTAATCGCTCTCTCTTTCCCCGATATATGCATGCAATAATTCAATTTGGATTTAATTATTGTAAGTTACTTAATACACACCCCAGGTGGTCAATGTGCCTCTTACACCTCAAGTGTTCAATAATATTCTAATAATGCTAAATTAAACTGCCTGGAGTCAATTTCCTTTAATTAGTTCACGGTTAACAAATGAACTTGTTTTCATTCCTAAAATGCACTTGTGTTTAGAACGACTTCTTTATGCCACCGGTGAAGTAATAAACAGCCATAACTAGGACAGAAAGAACATGGCGCACTATTATTTTAGTATTATTTATAAAATATTATAGAATTTATTCATTTTGAATTAGCTATGATTTTTTTTCATTTAAATTTAGTTTTAGTAATTGTCATTTGCATTAGTTTTCTAAATAGCTTTGATTTTATATTGTCATTTTAGTACTTAAACTTATTACAATTAGTTGCCAAAGCTTCTGGTATAAGTTTTTTTTAAAGTTTAATACTGCCAAATATTGTGATTTAAAACCTTCAGTAGGCATTATTCGTATGTATCCAGTATGTTTTCATGTGACCATCACATTGCATACTAGTGGTGTCCAGATAACGTCTTGAAATGTAAATTAAATTTTGTGTTGAACAACAACTTTCCAGTCACATCTGTTAACCAACCAGAATCAACAAATCACCAATGCTGTGGTACAAACATCATAAAGCACCATGAAGTCAATTGTGTTTGATCTGAAATTGCTTTATTGAAGTAAATATCAACTGCAGCGGAAATGAATGAATTTACAAACACTAAAGCGAAACTCTGACAGGTAGACATCTGCTTTCCCAATGAAAACTTTTCTAAAATAGAATATGAAGAAAAAAGAAAAGAAAAAAAAAAACTACCACCGTAGAGGAGAAAAACCTCAACGGAGCACATCTTAAAAATATTTGCGAATGACTTCTTAGCGGATGGAGGCTTGGAGTCGAGAGTAACAGTCTCTACACGGCTGTTCCTCTCTCCAGGTTCTGTTTGATCTCTGCGGTGTATTTCCCGTAGAAACGTTCAGCCTTCTTGTTGAACTTGGCGTTCCTCTCGTTGATGTAATCGATGTCCGCGTCGTCGTTGTAGGCCCTGCGGCGACTGTATTTCGCGCGCTTTTCAATCCTAAACGCACAAGAAAACATTAATGGAGATTACACGCACATTTTTTAACTCTAAAAAGGGTTGGAATACAGTAAAAAAAATCAAAAATCAATCTGAAGAAACAGAATGAAAGAACTAAAACACAAAAGCCTAGTTACAAATAATCCACAGTGTTTTTCAGTAAACAAATCATTAAATCCGATTAATTAATCAGTAACCGATTCATTAAAATGAATGGTTTAAACTGATTCACAGAAAACAAACTTAAAGGAGAACTCCGGCGCAAAATGAACCTTTGGTCTAATAAAACATTGGTACCTAGTCAACCGTTCTCTGAGATTTGTTTTCATGATAATCGAATGTAAAGAGTTTTATCTCTAAAAACTGTTTAGCGTGTAACGCTAGTAATGGTAATGCATCTATTAAGTAAAAATAAATCGCTAGTTTATACCACTAACAAGACTCAAAATAGCCCCACACTAACACAGTAACATAATGAGGGTCCCTACATGCAAAACGAAGCATTGAGAACTTTGTAAGTGTACAGACCGTTTAATAAGAAGATCAAGATAAAGACAGTCCACTTCGTGTATACAGACAGGAGCCATCTTTGGAAAACAGTCTCGACTAATCAAACCACGAACGCCATTCATACAGTTCAGAAGTTCACTGAACCTCATACAGTTCAGCTCACTTAGCACGTTGTTCGTGGTTTGATTAGTCGAGACTGTTTTCCAAAGATGGCTCCTGTCTGTATACACGAAGTGGACTGTCTTTATCTTGATCTTCTTATTAAATGGTCTGTACACTTACAAAGTTCTCAATGCTTCGTTTTGCATGTAGGGACCCTCATTATGTTACTGTGTTAGTGTGGGGCTATTTTGAGTCTTGTTAGTGGTATAAACTAGCGATTTATTTTTACTTAATAGATGCATTACCATTACTAGCGTTACACGCTAAACAGTTTTTAGAGATAAAACTCTTTACATTCGATTATCATGAAAACAAATCTCAGAGAACGGTTGACTAGGTACCAATGTTTTATTAGACCAAAGGTTCATTTTGTGCCGGAGTTCTCCTTTAAAGAATTGAATCGCTGTTTTAGATACTGAAGTTTAAATCAGAGATTTTTTTTTTGCCCGTAAAGTCATGATAAAATCCATTGAATGACATGCTCTTTAGTCGGTGCTGTTACTGTTAACTAAAACCACTATAGAACATTTTTGTAAATTGATATACCTGAAATAAAAGAAAATATAAATATTAGATTAAAAATGTAAAAAAAAAAAAAAACTTTGCCACAATTAACAGTAAATTAGCTCTTCTCTAGTGTTTCTTTAATAGCCAACTAACAAACTGTGAACACTGGATAACTTTCCTGAGGTAAATGCAACGTTACGTGACATTGTTCATAAGCTGTTTTGTTGCCGTCTTTCTGCGGTTGAAACACAGATTGAGTGATTACACGAGGCATGATTCATTTTGGCAAGTTGTACATATCTTTCAAAATACCATTTGATGTTCATGCATGTTTTTTTTTCATGCTATAATATGTAAAGCTGAGACTTTCTTATCAGAAGTAAAAAGCTCTTCACGGTTAATGGATGGAAGGCGCGCTACAAATAATGTTTGGTGTAGGGAAAAAACACGGATCTGGCAGCTCTGGATTGAACTACGGGTGATTCATAGGGTCAAATACAGTTTTAACTTATGACGCGTTAACTTCGACAGCCCTAAAGAGAGGATTTCTTTACACACAGTATTCACTTCACTTAACAGACACATTTTTCTGCTCCTTTTTGATTGACAGGATGTAATCAGTCAATAGTGAAAATAATTGCTTTTATCGGCTGCTACTGATTATCTGCCGATACATCTGTGCATCCCTAAAAATGATTAAGACAAATCACAAAAAAAACTCTTTAAAGCTGCAGTCCGTAGTTTTTCATCTTTGTCGCCATCTCTGTTCGAAATCTGCAATTGCAGTCATTCGCGGATATATCAACTTTACGCGAGTTGTACCTCGGCACGGCACAGCGCGGATGAATCCAATGTTTTGAGGAGAATGTGCGGCTGTCAGTTGCCGTATGGATACTGGCATTCAAAATCACAGATTATTCTTTTTGGACGTATGACCAACATAAGAATTTTCACTGGAAAATGTCATCTGAACAAGCAAGTAACATCCACTTTTGTTCGGACCAACTAAGGGAAAAAAGGCATTGCAGTAAATCGCACTAATTAAATCTAACGATCGCTTATCATATCATGTCAAACCGTGCAAATTATCCTTTGTTCTCAAATTGTAAATGTTAACAACATCTTTTTTCTGCAGCCACTCCGAAGTCTTTTGCATTTTACAACGGGTGAATCTCTAGTTGTCACTGGTGATTGTCGTTTGAACCTTACTGGATCCACCATCAAATTATTAAGTGTAAATATATCAAGTGCTGTGAGAAAAGGCTATAAATCTCCACCTCCAACATCCTCACACTCATAGCCGACTAGCTGAGACTCTTCTTTATGTGTACAGATGTGACGTAATGACGCAAAATCATCACAGAAGCACCACACATCTGATATATTACCCAGTTTTACTCTTTAGACATTCATTTCTAAAAGTTTGATGCTTCGACAGACAATGTCAGTTCAGTCCATCAAATAGACCCCCACGCACACACACACAAACATCACTTCAAACATCTTCAAAGAGTGTTTGTGCGTCACAATCTGGCAGCCGTAGCCCTGTCTAATGTTTCTCAGAAGCTAAAAGCAGCTCCTCCAAAATAGAAGAATGCCTTCTCACGCATAAACAAACCCTCGCGGGCACACACATGCATGTGCGACAGGCACGCTACGGCACAAACACATCTGGAGCGAGGAACAAACACACACGAGGAGGCTGAGAAACATCACATTGAAAAGAGCCGCTATCTGCCGTCTCTGATGGAGGAACGCTGAGGTGTGTATAAACAGATCTGCTCACCAGGTGCTTCTGCTGAAATAGAACAGATTCCCTGCGTAAAAACAAACACAGATACTTACTGTTTCTCCACGTCGTCCACCATGCGGTCGATGCTCTCTTTAGAGGGAACGTGAGTGCCGTGAATCAGACTGTTGGAGGTGGGGTGGAAATCTTCTCCACTAGGAGTAAATTAAATCATACAAAATCATCAACTTCTTATTTTTATATATAGTGTGTAGCTTATGTACCATTAGCATCAGCAGAACAGCCACAAAGTTTGACCTTCATTAGACTTTCTCATTCGCTTTTGAAGATGCGCCACACCAGATGTAATGTCAATAAAGGCATATTCATTGGTATGAATGCCTCATAATTAAAAGACTTCAGAAGACTTGGAAAATAGTGCACAAATTGTATTGACTTGAATTTTTTTTTACATTTCTTGTCATTTTGAAAGGCTGACAAATATTCGTCTCTATTCACTGTCATTATAATGAAAAGAACACTATTATATTGTATTATATTATATTTAATGAGACAGAAAACCTTCATATGACTAAATAAAACAGTCATTGCTCAAACAATGACTTGTGAGCGGTTGATTCCAGTATCAATCCAAATTTTTAATAGGGCTGCAAAATTTGGGAAAAGATGTGACTTAAAATGTGGCTTTAAAAAAAGCTGCAGGTTTTCTGGGATGCACAATTTAATAAAAAATAAAAAAAGTGATATCAATATGACTATAATAATAACATTTTACAGTAAAACTGCAAAAAGAGCACTGTAAAAGAACACAGAGCAGCTCTTCACTAAAACATGCAGCATATATTTCATTAATTACACCGCAGGCTTTGCGATTTGATAATTACACTAAGCCATATTGTGATTTCAGTGTTGAATTAGAGTCTTGACAGAATCAGTGCTTGATTGATGACAGCAAATAACACTACTGTTTGGGGTCAGTGAGATTAATAAAAAAATAATACTTTATTTTCAGTAACCGTACATATTTCAGAGGTTGAATGAGAATAAATAGTCTCACCACTCCTCTCTCTGTCTCTCATAGTTGTCCATATCTGGCTTGATCTGCCTCGTCAGTCTCTGGTACTGTCTCAACTGGGCCTCAGCGTACCCTACACACACACACACACACACACACGAATAAAAACACATATCCAGCTGTGGGGGTCTGGAAAAAGGGTCTTACAAGGAGAAGCAAAAGGAAAATGATAATTGCCAGAACCAATGATAACCAGGCGTGAAACACAAGCTCTGCATGTTTTCATTTTTAGCATCACACATGGCAGCCACATTCCCTCTTCCTCTCAGCCAATCAATCAGACTGCTTAATAATATTCATGAATTAACTGAGATGAGTGTTTTATACCGGAGAACCCTGGATCAGGGTTTCTCTTCTTTTTCTTTCTCTCCCATCTCTCTGCATCTTCAGCGCTGATCTCCAGAAGCTTCACACGGTTGTAGTCCTCGCCACGCTCCGCACACTCCTGACACACAAACAGAAATCACTGCGTCACACACTCGTCCTCACAGACTGCATAATCAGAATCAGTGCTTGATTGATGACGGCAAATAACACTACTGTTTGGGGTCAGTGAGATTCATAAAAAATAATACTTTTTTTTTCAGTAACAGTGCATTGTATTGATTAAAAGTGACAGTAAAGACATTTATAGTGTTACAAAAGATTTATATTTCAAATAAATGCTATTCTTTTCATCTTTATATTTTTTTCCCCATCAAATTCAATTCACATTTATTTATTAAAGAATCCTGAAAAAAATCTATCACTGTTTTCAAAAAGCACAACTGTTTTTAACATTGATAATAATCAGAAATGTTATTATAATCATATTAGAATGATTTCTGAAGGATCATGTGACACGGAAGACTGGAGTAATGATGCTGAAAGTTCAGCTTTGCATCACACAGGGTTCGTACACCTTTTCCAAGGTCCATTTTAAAGCTTTTTCCAGCACCTTACTACACCACCGTAAATCACATATCAATACATAGTCAAAATTATTATTTAGTGTTTTTATCACATTAAAAGAGATAATGCTATAAACAGCCAAAATTGTGTTTCGTAATAGCAGAAGGATCAGATATTTAAGCAAATCACAAGTTTTATTTTTCAAAATGTATCACTAAGTAGATAATGCCTATGAATACTTTTCATTATATTAATGTCCAAATATTGCTTCCCAGATACTGTGATTTTCAGGCTGTAAAACTGAAGTAATTTCAAGGGCTGAAAATATGAAGACATAGGATTTGAACAGAAATATTTTACAGGCCTTGGTTTTGGGACACATAGACAAGGTTTGAACAAAATCTGAGACAGTGCAACAACAACTTGTAATTCCATTTTAACCCAGAAGACTCGGACAGTGCACAGGCACCTGCCTGATAAATAGCCTATATTAATTGAAAGAATTTTTGTTTTTATTTCATTGCCAAGACATATAGCCTATATTTATCTACAGGAATAGAGCAGTGTAAATATTGCATAAGGCCATCCTCAACCTTACAGTAGGCTACTTGTATTCTGTTCAGCAATCAACGATTGTTGTTATGCACTGGGCTAACGTTTGCAGGTTTTAATTTGCGGGTAGTTAACGTTACAGTTACTCTGTAACTTTGGCTATGTTCACTGCATATTGAACTGCATATTCCACAAATGAACGTGCCATAACAGACATGCAATACTAACATTACATTATCACACCAAGTACTCAGTCACTAATGGCACTTTCAGACACGATGCGGAATGCGCTGCGCTATGAAACCCATTTATTTCAATAGGTTGCACCGCGCGAGGACGTTTTGTTGAGCAAAGCGGAGCGCAGCATTGGCGAGCTCAAAGATAAAAATAGTTCAACTTTTGCTGCTGCGCGGCCAATAAAAATGGGGCAAATCGCTCTGTATCTGAAGGGCTACATTTTATTTATCCATTTAATAAACAAACTATTGAGTCAGATAGGTATTTGTTGTGAAAGAAATTAGAGATGTTCCGATACCCTTTTTCCCTTCCCGATATCGATTCCGATACCTGGACTCAAGGTATTGGCCGATACCGAGTACCGATCCGATACCTGGGTCTGTACAGTATCTATACAGCTGCAATTCATACTAGCACTGTATGAATTGATAGAATTATTTTATGGTGTGCTTCAGACTTATCCCTTAATTAAACATGAACAAATACATAGAGTGAACTAGAGTATTTTTATTATCTGACATACATTTCACAGCAATATATTATTTATCTTTCTTTAATGAAAAAAACTTAAAATGCAACCACACATCTAATACTGTAAACTGAAAAAAGGTATTTTAGATTTACAATATATAACTGTATAAAAAAAAGTGCAACAAATAAATATAGGAATCTAAAAAAATTATATATGAATAATATAAGAAAATTATCTCTTTATAATTTAAGGTCCATTAACAGTTTTGTTAAATAAACGGCATTTCAGTTTTGACATCGGCTGGTCATCCAGAATAATAAACTTAATAACTTACATGTTGTCGGTTATATTTATCGCTCGTTGGCTGTCTTTTGAAAACATTTCTCTTCGTTTGAATGAAGCTTTCAGAGATTGTTGATTCTGGCGCGGCTCATCCTTCTCTGCCCTTGCCTTTGTGTAATCGTGTTCTGCGGGGTTACTCGGTGTTACTTGAAGTTGCTAATACTTGTTCCACCCCTCGAAATTGCAGTATGGCATATGAGACATGTCGCCGTTTTACTAGCTGGTTTTCCAGTCTGAAAAACTGCCAAACTGGGGACATGCAGGGCGCGCGCGCGTTTTCTTCTTCGCTGTTCTAAACAGCGGTTGCTTGTGTGGCAACAGCACGACTTCCTGTGTCGCCACAAGCAACCACTGTTTAGAACAGCGAAGAAGAATTGAGCTCCGATTTGCAGCGTTACGCAAAGCTAGCGTGCATAACTAGTTATTGTTTAAGAAAATGGTATCGGATCGGTACGCGGATAGAAGTACTCGCCGATACCGATGCCAGAATTTTTATTGGTATCGGCGGCATTTCCGATACTAGTATCGGAATCGGAACAACACTAAAAGAAATACAGTTTTTTTATCCAAAAATTAAGCACTTTTCAAACCTTGAAAACACATCCAAACTCTATACCCTGATCACAGGAATAAATTATATTTTAGAATATATTCAAACAGAAAACAGTTATTTTAAATTGTAATAATATTTTACAATATTACTGTTTTTACTGTGTTTTTCCATTCAATAAATGCAGACAGACAAGAAATCATTCAGATTACAGTATGTCTTAGTTCAATTGAAAACTGGATGAACAGCGCTGTGGCTCAAACATCTTCGTGAGTTTGGTCACTATATGATCATTCGCAAATTGCGTGAGTGTTTGTGTTGTCATTATTATTGCAGCTCCGTTTGATGGAGCAGAAACAACAGATTGCAGGTCTGAATTCAAGTCCTGTACCTTCTTCTTTTGGTCCACCACGAGTTCATACTCTAGACGAGCTTTCTTGGCCTCCCAGTTGGAGGGCAGCTTCAGTCTCTTGTCCTCCTCCACCACCTCCTGATGATTCAGCTTACGGGCCTCATTCTACCAACAGAACACAATCACAATTCATATGGATGTAATAGAGCAGGTTCTGTTGTGCCGTGTCAACAGTTTTCACCCAAAGCAACAACAGCACAGAGTTTGCTCTCGATCTACACCAATTACACTAAAGGTCCTTACACATGACTTACATCAGGGATGCGACACATGCCTCACAAAGCAGGCAACATGCGCCATTTTGACAAACACTCTCCTCTTAAAGGTGCAGTAAGCCATTTCTGAAAAATTGGTTCATATTTAATTAGATAATGCAGTGGTTCTCCAACCCGTCCTGGAGTACCACCAGCCCTGCACATTTTGTATGTCTCCCTGTATTTCTCACACCCATTTCGGGTCTTGCAGTCTCTAAGGAGCTCATGAGTTGAATTCGGTGACGGTGTGATAGATGAGGGAGACATACAAATGTGCAGGGCTGGTGGTACTCCAGGACGGGTTGGAGAACCACTGCATTATCTAATTAAATATGAACCAATTTGCATTCATTTCCAATTAAATGTTACATAAACCAGACGATTGATATATGACCAAACCTTTGTTTGGAAGAGGAGATTTATGATTTAGTAAATAAGAAAAAACTCATCTTGAGAAAACAGCCTTTAAAGATATACATTTTAATTCAAACCTTCAGAAGCACATTGCATAAAAAGTGTGAAAAGATAAAGTCAAATGTGTATTTTTCCTTTTTCCTTTCTGCTCGTCTGAAATAAGACATGTTGTGGAAGCAAAATAGTCCAAAATCGACCAGTGTATGAAAAAACAATAGTTTTGCCTGTGCTATTTTGCCGTAAAATGCAATTACAAGTGGCTAACGTTACAGGAGACAAATGTTGCTACCAGGTGTAATCGGTCACATCTGACCACTTGTGAATGTGATATTATCAAATCACCCAAGACAGATGTTAATGACAGATTTAATCTGGGCATTAGCTATAATAAATGGTCTCGGTTTAATTATTTCACTTATATGAGGGAAAATGTGACGTAGTTACCCTCTTGAAATGAAGCTCTCTGAACTTTCTGAGTCTATCTTCCCTCTTCAGCGCTGCTGGAGTCTCTGCGGATTCCTCTTCACTGCTGGGAGCAACAACCTGAACGGGGAAGATAGCAATGTACCGCATACAGGGCTTAATAATATCACTGAAATCTCAGATACTGAACATCAGAGACTGATGTTAGCATTGTTAGCCATGCCAATAAGAATAGTGTTCTGACAACAGATAACCGATAATTCCACAGTTATAATAACTATTCAACAATATAATAAATATATAAATAAACAATAAAGACGTCCTTTAGATCAACACTCAAAGTATTTGGAATCTCGTATTTTGTTTACCTCTGCGCTAGTGGCCATATTGCTTCTCTTAAAGAGGAAGTACGTCACACAATTCAGTTCGACCGAGAACTAAACACTTAATATGTAGTTCCGCTTTCTTAATAGTACAATAATATGAGGGGAATCGGTTTTGAATAAAGTATAATAATACCCCTCTCTCTGTAGATGTACTGTATATTAACCTTAACCTGATGGCTTAACAGGGTGAATGAAGTTGCAGTTCAAACGTATTTTTTACAGTCTATGGTTCAAACACATTGTTTGATCGCTCATCTCGACTCATCTGCTTTGCGCCATTAACATAAACGACACTGCTCATCTACTCTGATTATGTATAATTAAGTTGTTTTTAAGAGGATGTAATTAACTAGAGTTTACAATTTTAGATTAAAGCAACCTCTAGATTAGAAGCTACACTAATGAACTGATGTGCTTGTTCTGCAATCCAGATGGTACAAAAACCAAACCACCCTCAAACACAAGACTTAACATCAAGTGATTGCTTTTTATGATATTTTATATAATCCACATCAGAAAAATAATGTATTGTCATCGTGTCATTTTTTATGAACCCTAAACTGAAAATAAATAAAGAATTAAATTTGAATGGTAGTCAATGGAGAATGATTCTCTTTGTAGTCAGGTGGTGCATACTTCTATAATCCACCAGCAGGGGCTAAATGAACCAAGCTAACTAGGCAACTAGCTAACCTTCAACCATTAATTTTCAGAGTGATTAGTCACATGGCATCTACAGCTCAAGTGTCTGACTCAAAATGTTCTGGAATATTTCAAGTCATGTAGGCTACATCCAGGAAGGACACACATCATGTGAAGCATCTGCCCTTCAGATGATACTAACAGATAGCTTTCTCAAGGTATTATGAATTTTCTTGATTTGATCAGGCTGTCAAATTACATATATGCACAAAAGTGAATTAAAATATGGCCAAATGCTTTTTCCCTTACTATATATATTTTTAAACATTGTACAGAATACTGTGTATATTTACAATTTTTAGAAAATAGTAAGATATACGATTCCTGTCAGAACAGCTTTTCAATGTAGGAGGTCATTCACCTGGATTCCATCAGCAAACTACCTAAACTGTAGCGTTGTTTGATAAATTGATGCATCCTCCATTTTGCTTCATGGCTTAGACCAGCTCCAGTGTGTTCAGCTGCATGACATCTGGGTTGTAACTGGTATAGAAAACACAGCCAAAAAAATCATTCAATTTCCCTAATTACTATATCTTTCATTTCCGCTGCCCATGAGCATGAGCTTGAACAGGCCAAACCAAACAAAGCTTTGACTGCACCAGCTCAGTTACCCAGCAAGCGAGGGTCCAAACATGCACACAATGGCTGCGTCCGAAATTGCGTATGTACTCTCTAGAGTAGGAACTTATTTTGAATAAGTAATTACTTCACGACCGCTAAAAAGTATGTTCTATATAGTATGAGTGTGAGTAGTATGATTGTAATCCGAAAGCACTACATTTGCTATGCTCTCATTATCATGTGACCTATCAGCATCAGTTGCTTCGCTTCACTGCCATTCATAAATCCTCTCCTGTGGCCTCATAGGATAGTAAAGTGTCCATCGTATGCACAGTTCAGAATCTTGGTGGAAGTAGTAGGTCACATATACTGTTTATTTGCCTACTTTATAGTAGGGAAGTATGCGATTTCAGATGCAGCACAGAGTATTGTCAGGTGGCCTGCTTATCAAGCATCAGACCACTTTTGATGATGCCATGATTTGTGGACGTTAATAAAAAATAATACCTGGAACAGCTACTGCAGAAGAATTCAACCGTGACCGCTTACTTTTTCAGCCTTAGCCCTGGAAGTTTAAAAAAATTGAGAATTCCTTTTACAATTCCATTTAAATTCCTTAATTTGAATTGTGGTAGCAAACAGGAAGCAGAATTCTATTTCAAATTTGAATGTAAGGAAGTTCAAAGAAATTTCAAAGTCTTTTTAAAATAGAAAAGCATAAAGTTTGTCCAGATAATCTGAGTTTTGGCTTGACAAAGTTTTGAAACATGTTTATACTTATGTCTTACTGATAGATGCATAAATATGTTTAAAATGCACCTATATAAATTTGTTTATTTTATATACACTACGAATCATAAGTTTGAGGTCAGTCAAAAAAAAAAAAAAAGAATACTTCTTTTATTCACCAAGGTCCCAATAAATTGTTCAAAGTGAAAATAAAAACATTTGTAAACTATTTTCTAACTATTAGAAACTATTTCTATTTTAAATAAATGTTTGAACTCCCTCTTTATCCAATTAAGAATCCTGACTTTTTTTTATTACAGTTTCCACAAAAATATTAGGCAGCACAACTGTTTTCAACATTGAATATAATCAGAAATGTTTCTTGAGCATCAAGTCATCATATTTCAATGATTTCTGAAGGATCATGTGAAACTGAAGACTGGAGTAATGATGCTGACAATTCAGTTTAATCACAGGAATAAATTACATTTTAAAATGTATTCAAATAGAATAATAATATTTCACAATATTACTGTTTTACTAAAATCTTGATCAAATAAACGTAGTCTTTGTGAGCACAAGATACCAGAAAATCCCAGATTTCATTTTACCCTGTTTCTGCGAACATATCATAAACCGTGTTATGATGACAAAATTGAATAACTTTGCATACATCCACATCTCTGCAAAATCGATGTCTCCAGGTGGAAGTTTCCAAGTAGAAAGTTCTGCTGTAGAAACACACACCCCACATTGTGACACAACAGGAGCCCGTGTATCTGAATCACACGCACATCTCATGTCAGCAGTCTGGGAACTCAAGCGCCAGTAATCAAATGCAACTTATCTGATCAGTCGTAATTCTCTGGACTGATTTTATGCTTCGGAAGTAAACTGTCATTACTTGTATCCTAGGGGCACTCATGAGCACAACAGGCTGATGGATATTTTCATAATTATCCCTAAAATTAGTAAATCCAAAAACACTTTTGTATTAGAACACTAGGTGTAATGTATAGGCAGTGCCGCCAACCCTGTCACATGGGATATTTCCTTCTCCAAGGTTAATATTAAAAGACAAGCATGTCTGAACATTTCTAAAAGAAAGCCGCAGAGATGATTGCTCACTGATAGCATCAATATTCAGGCTCTTTTCCTCAATAAATTACCAATTAAAAGCAATTACAGCACACATTGAAGAGCATTGTGGGTAACAACGACTTTCTGTTCCCCAGAGGAACACTGACATACTGGCTTTAGTCTCTGGCTGGGTATCTATCTATCTATCTATCTATCTATCTATCTATCTATCTATCTATCTATCTATCTATCTATCTATCTATCTATCTATCTATCTATCTATCTATCTATCTATCTATCTATCTATCTATCTATCTATCTATCTATCTATCTATCTATCTATCTATCTATCTATCTATCTATCTATCTATCTATCTATCTATCTATCTATCTATCTATCTATCTATCTATGTCTGTCTGTCTGTCTGTCTGTCTGTCTGTCTGTCTGTCTGTCTGTCTGTCTGTCTGTCTGTCTGTCTGTCTGTCTGTCTGTCTGTCTGTCTGTCTGTCTGTCTGTCTGTCTGTCTGTCTGTCTGTCTGTCTGTCTGTCTGTCTGTCTGTCTATTGTTGCAGGCACACTATGCTTTAAGTATGCATAATTACACCTAATAAGATATGATGTCAGTCTCTAGGGTATGATTTAAAATAAAATTGTTTCATACATTTCATACAAATTATAAATGTGAAAAATACAATGTAAAATGTTAAAGTACAATACAAATTAAATATAGGTGTAAGATAATATAAGTAAATGACACACACATTATATATATATATATATATGTATATGTATACACATTATATGAATAAATATAAATAATACTGTATGTATATAATGAATAATGTTTATTTATATAAATTTAAATGTATTTATATAAACTACACTTTCTTACAGCACCTGAATTTTGTGTGTTTGTATTGTAGCAAGAGCTCAGTTTGTGACGTTTAGACCCTGATTTTTCTCATAATTGTAAAAGAATTATGGGAATGTCCTGTTGTCACTCAAAAATTACTCTAAGGTGCGTGTCAATAGGGGGCGCCATGTAACATCAAAAGCAGAATTAAGCAGAAAAAGTTTTTGTGTGTGTGTGTGTGTGTGTGTGTGTGTGTGTGTGTGCGTGCTGTTTTTCCATGGTAAGGAGGACAGTTGAAGGCATTGCCGTGGGCTTTGATTTCAGCCTGTTTCATTCAGCTCGGCTCATCAGCTGGAAATATTTACATTCTCTGATCCCTTAATCTTTAACAAAAGAAGCATGAGGCTCTGTCTTAGATTTCAACACAAGACGAGCACAACACAAACCAAAGATTGAGACTGTGATACTCAAATACAGCTTCAGCTAAAGGCCTGCAACACACTTCTCAAGTGCCAGTCTGAAAAAATCATATAGGCTACAAAACAGCTCAAAAGTTTGGGCTCGGTAAAAATGTTTTTGAAACAAGTCTCTTGTGGTCACCAAGGCTGCATTTATTTGATCAAAAAACATACAGTTATAATGAAATTTTAAAACAACTGTTTCCTAATTGAATACATTTTAAAATGTCATTTATTCCTGTGATCAAAGCTGAATTTTCAGCATCATTACTCCAGTCTTCAGTGTCACATGATCCTTCAGAAATCACTCTAATATGATGATTTGCTGCTCAAGAGACATTTCTGATTGTTATCAGTGTTGAAAACAGTTGTGCTGCATCATATTTTTATGGAAACCATGTTACTTTTCTTTACAGGATTCTTTGGTGAATAGAAAGTTCAAAAGAACAGCATTTATTTGAAAGAGAAATATTGTAACATTATAAAAGTCTTTCTGTCACTTTTGATCAATTTAAAACATCCTTGCTTAATAAAAATATTTCTTCAAATAATAAAATAAAAATCTGCCCCATTGACCATAGACAGGAGTGTTTGGGAAACCTGTTAATTATTTGTAAAAATGCGTTTGGTGACTTCAGGTTGATCAAGTTGA